GTTGGCTAAATGATTTAATAAAACTTCTTGGGATTTTTCCCGGGCTCTTTCACTATTATCTCTCCGAATTTCGGCAGATGAAAGATTATTAACATGGAGAATCGTATGATTTCGGAGATAGCGAGAGGGATTATGGGGGTTATTCAAACATTCTGGGCTATTCATTGAATTAATGGCATCTCTGCATGAAGCGCTATTTCGAAAATAGGGGTATCTACTTCATACCACAACCACACAATTATTTCAGGCTTCGTCTTCGGACGGAGAAATAATTTTCTTTAATAGTTTGTAGGCTTTGGTAATTTGCTGATTACTACTGCGTCCGGGATAGAGGAAAAAAATTTGGTGTAATTGTGCCCCACATTCTTCCAAAGCCTTTTTTATTTCGGCAAATAATTCGGCGAGGCTTAACTTAGTATTATCGGTTCCGGGCAAGTCTATTACCCGATAAGTTATAGTTTGGCCCTCAGCATCAGTTATTTCGGAAAAAAATTCTTCCACCTGAACTTGTGAAGTTATATTCCAACCAATCCTACCTTCGAAAAATTTATCAGTATTAGTCAAAACATTAGCCAAAGCCGATTTTCCGGATAAAGTTGGTCCTCATAATAGTATGTTTTTGGTTATTCTAATTTCGCCTTCTTTGCTTGCTCCTTCTATCATTTTATTATTATTTATTTTAGGTAATTTAGGTAATAAACCAATCTTACATCCGGCAAAAAACCAAGTTATTTTTAACTATTTTTTGATTCAAAAAAATCTATATTCAAATGGTATAAAAAGAATATTATTGACAAAATCAAATGTTAAATAATGTAATTAATAAAGCGGAGAAAATTATGACTAGTAATTATTATCTAGGGATAGGGCGATGAAAAGAAGCCACGGCCCGAGTTTATCTTCGGGAGGGAACAGGAGAAAACCACGTCAACGGAAAGAAATTAATTGACTATTTTATAGTTGACCCGTGATTAAAGGAAGATATTTATCAACCATTAAAATTGTTGGATAAAGAAAAGAATTATAATTTATCGGTGCGAGTCAAAGGGAGCGGTTTCAGCAGTCAAGCCAGAGCCATTAGATTGGCTACTGCCCGTGCCTTACTCGAAATTTCTCCGGAATATAAAACAATTCTGAAAAGTTTCTCTTTGTTAACCTGTAATACCAAGTTCGCAGAAAGGAATAAAATTGGCCTTAAAAAATCGCGAAAGGGGCGGCGATGACGCAAACGCTAAATGAGTAAAGTAGTGTTGGTATGGGAATAACTATATTTCTAGCCATCATTTTGCTGGCATTTTAGCCTTTTGTCTCTTTATCTAATTTCCGATATTGAAGATAATGGTAAATTGATATAACCTTCATTATCGACCATTATATTATTGTCAGAACCCGAAACAGTATAAGATTGCTTTTAGGCTTGTAAATGACGAGCATTAAAAATTACTCAACCGTTTTCACTATTTATTTTACTAATCTCTTTCACTTTCTCATACCTTAAACTCCCAAAACTCATTAGACTGCGCAAATAATCATCACTCAAATTTTTTAATAATTCTTTGTTACACATGGAGTTAATATGTTATCTATTTTAATTCCCCGTCGAAGATGATAACTGTGTATGCTATCAAAGACATCATCTCACCCCCAATGATTTTGTTGAAATTGGTAAAAAGTGTATTGTTGATTAATTTAATGGCAACGTTACCACAATTCCGCATAGTTCACAGCCCTAATTTTTCAGTGGAATTGGTGGGGATTAAGAAATTTAACGTTCTTAATATGCTTCTAAAAATTATCCGCTGATTAAAATACTCTCTTCTTGTCTTTGGAAAGCCACAATTTGATCATTGATTTGAAAATCGCTAAATCCTTTCAACACGATTCCGCATTCTTGACCACTCACAACTTCCTTAACTGTTACTTTATTACTTTCCAGGCTACGAATCGAGCCAGTAAACAGCGGTTTTTCGTTCCGAAAAACATGAACTAAGTTATTACGGGCAATCTTGCCGCTTATTACTTGACAACCCGCAATTTTCCCAACCTTGGAAAAATGGAAAATTTGGCTAACCTGGGCCGCTCCTCTTATTTTTTCCACTAATTTTTTTTCTCGTTGCTGATTTCGTTGAATTATTTTTAACTTGTCGGTAATTTCGTAGATAATTTTGCTACTAAAAAAAGTGAGGTGATTTTCCCGAAAAATTTTTTCTTGGACTGTCGAAAACTGGTAACCGAAAGCCAAAATAATACTTTGAGTAATTTTGGCTAAATTTAATACTGAATCAGTGATTTTCCCGACAGTTGAATGAACTACCGAAAAATTATTAATATCTTTAACCAAACTATTCAAAACTTCCAAACTATTTTGGCTATCAGCCAAAAAAATCAAATTAACATTCTTTTTTTCCCCGCGAGAAGGCAAAATTGATTTTTTATTTCCCATTTTTCAATTAGTCAATTCTTTTTCCAATTCTTTTTTGATTTCTTTATCCTCAATTACCAGAAATTTGTTTCCTAACTCGGCAGGAAAATTACAACCAACTATCCGCACTAAATCGCCCGGAAAAGCCTGGCTCAACTTCCGTCCCGTCAGATCGAAAATTATTTTGACTGAACCTAATCTTCCGTTGAGAAAAATCTCGTTTTTCTCTTGCAAACGTCCTCCTTGAATTAGTAATTCAGTCAACATAGTTCCGGCTTGGGGATGAGAATAACTATTAATCACTACGCCACTGGCCGGACGCTGCCAATTGGTTTTATAGTCGGCTAAAAGAAGAATGTTTTCACAAAGATGTTCTACATCCTCCTTTTTTTTAACACTACCGGAAACAACAATTATTTCGCCGCCCCAATCGAGAGGATTTAGTTCTCTTTCTTGTAATTGCGTTTTAATTTTATTTAAAACTCTTTCGTTGTCTGTTTCTGATGGTTTTTTATGATTAATGAAAACAATAACTGGTAAGTGGTATTCACGCAGATAAGTAATAATCTCATTGGTTTGCGGCATTATTCCCTCACTAGCACTAATTACCAAAACCACCAGATCCGTTAAAGAAATTCCGTGCTGACGTAATTGCATAAAGTCACTGTGGCCCGGCGTATCCAAAAAAATAATTTTCTTTTGGTGAAAAGTAATGGGTGAAACAGTAATTTTTTGGGTTATTCCTCCTACCTCCTTCTCTTGTAAATGGGTATTACGAATAGTGTCTAACAAAGTAGTTTTGCCATGGTCAACATGTCCCATGATGCTAACAATTGGCGGGCGTTCATTTAACTGCGCTCCTCTATCAATCTCAGTTAAATATTCCGTAATGGTTTCTCGCCAACTCATCCCCCTTTTTTTTTCTAATTTAATTCCGGTATTGCGACAATAATCTTTTAGTCAATCTCAGGGCAAGCATTGATTTTTCCCCACCACTTGGCCTTGTTTTCAAAAATAATTAATGATTTCACTAGCATTTTTTTTCAAAATAGTGCTTAATTCCATAACGCTTATTTTGTCCGTAGTATAATAGAGACAATTGCTACGAAATTCATTAGCACTGACGGTTAATTTTTGGCGAACAATATCAAGCAGGGAAGAATTACTCATAAGTTTTTTTACTATTTTTCTTGACAAAATTGACCGATTAACTGAACAACTGGCTCTCATAAATCAATTTCAAAAGTATTTTTTTTGCCTTGTAAAACCATAGCAATTCTTTCTAATCCTGCCCCCGTATCAACACATTTTTCGGCCAATGGCAAATATTCCTCTCCTTTGTGGTAAAACTCAGGAAAGACAATATTACAGATTTCAATAAAACGCTTGTTATCCAACTCCTCAATATTTTTTAGTAAATTTTTTTTGGGATGAAAATCAAAATATATTTCAGTATTCGGACCGCAAGGACCATCGCCCATATCCCAAAAATTAGTCTTTTTATTTCCAAAAAGGATATGATTTTCTTTTACTCCTTGTTTTTTTCACACTTCATAACTAATTTTGTCGTTTTCTCAAATCGTAACAAAAAGATTTTGCGGACTTATATTTAGCCATTCTGGCGAAGTAAATCACTCCCAGATAATCGGAATAACTTCGGCTTTGAAATTTCCTCCTATCGAAAAACAACCCAACATTTCAAAACAAGTTTGGTGATAAGAATGTTGATTAATTTGTTGAATATCGTCCGTGCGGATTACTCGTTGACAGTTAACGAGATTACGACTGGGGGCCAAATCAGGATTGCTAAAATACTTTTTCAAAGTTGCTACCCCCGAATTAATTCAGAGTAAAGAGGGGTCGTTATGCGGAATAAGTGAAGACGGTGCTAGTAAATAATAGTCTTTTGATTGGAAAATTTCTAGCCAACTTTTTCTTACTCGGTCAGTAGTAAATTTAATTTTTTGATCCATTATCTTACTTTTTTAGTGTCTTCTTATGGTATAATATTGCGATAGAACAAATTTATTGAGCAAAGTAGAGCGTCCATCACCAAAAAAAAAAAAAAATCAAATTTAGTAAAATAAGGATAATTGTGTCGTCAGAACTGTATGAAAATGAATTTCCTTACATATTAACAGAAGAGGGAAACCGAAGTCGCCGTCATACCACAGTAACTGACGAAGAAGAAGAAGAAGAACCCAAAACTCAAGAAACAATTTTAGAAAATTCAGAAAGAACTGACAATAGTTCTCAAACCTTCCCAGAAAATATTATTCCAAAAAAAAGAGATTGTCCGGGTTGAACACTAGGAGTAATTTTATTAGTAATGTTTGTTGTTATCGCTACGGTTTTGGTTCTATGAAGAGAGAAAAAAATCTCCCTCAAAAAAAGTCAATAGAAACAGAATTTTGCTCTAATTTTTTATTACTATATAATTGTTTTACTGATATTAAGCGATTAGTAGTTATCCTTATGATAGGCCTAAATTCGCCGAAAATTATTCTTTAAATTTAGATAGAAGTCTAAAAAGCATTCTAATAATGTCGGATACTAATCAAGTTCGTGACCACCGCAAAATTGCCCAAGAGTTAGACTTATATATTTTGGATGAAAGGGCAGGGCAAGGTTTACCAATTTTGTTGCCCAACTGAGTAATAATCCGTAATCAAATACAAAAATTTTTGCAGCAGAAACAAAAAAAATTCGGTTTTCAAGAAGTAATTACCCCAATTTTAGGCAGTGAATATTTATATGAAACTAGCGGGCATTTACAACATTATCGCGATTATATGTTTCCGAGTTTTGGTCGCGATAACGAAACTTTTCGTTTGCGTCCTATGACCTGTCCTCATCATTGTTTAATTTATCGGCAAAAACCTCGCTCTTACCGAGATTTACCTTGGCGTCTTTGCGAAAATTCTTTCCTGTATCGTTACGAAGCCTCCGGGGCTTTAAAAGGTTTAGAAAGGGCTCGCTGAATGGAATTGGCTGACCACCACGTTTTTGTTAATCCTGAACAATTGAAAGAAGAATTAAAAAAAAATTATCATTATATTATCGACATTTTATCAGCCTTCAACTTTCCAATTTCCCGTTTGGTTTGTTCACTACACGACCCTGATAGCCCTAGGAAATATCATTCTAACGAGGAGTTGTGAAGCTATTCAGAAACGCTTTTAAAAGAGGCCTTAACCGAATTAGGACTAAATTATATTGTTCTAAAAGGAGAAGCGGCGTTTTACGGTCCCAAATTGGATTTAGAAATAGAAGCGGCTGATGGTAAAAATATCACAATTGCCACGATACAGTTAGATTTTGTTCTACCTCTAAAATTTAACTTGAAGTATATAAATAAGAGGCAAGAATTAATCACACCAGTTATTATTCACCAGTCTCCAATCGGCACCTATCAAAGATTTATTGCCTTACTATTGGAAAAAACCGACGGAAGATTGCCTTTTTGACTAGCACCTTGTCAAGTGGCTATTTTACCTTTGAATGAAACCAAAGAAGTAAAAAATTACTGCGAAAATCTCAGCCAAGTTTTAAGTCACACAGAGATAAGAGTAAAAATATTCGGTGAAAAATCCCTTAATTACCGTATTCGGCAAATACACAAAAAAAAATCCCTTATTATTTAGTAATTGGTCATGAGGAACTCTTAACCAAAAAACTAAAACTAATTTCTGCTTATTTTCCTAACAAGGTCAGCGAGCTAAGTGAAAAAGAATTAGTAGAAAAATTCCGGTCTGAAAAAGAAAAATAAAATGACATAAATACCGGTAGTCATTTATCCCGATTGTGAAAAAAAGAATTAATTGTATTATTCCCTCACTTTATTCTTATCAAATTTATAAGGTTTAAATGTTAGTATTAATGTTTTTACTTCCTCGCCTTTTACTTTTTCGGTTTTTCATTGCATTTCCTCACCACCTTCTACTTTTGGTGATTCCATTTCATAACCTCGCGGTGTTTCTCGGGCTTGTAACAAGAATCCAACTTCTCTGGCTTCTTTTTCATTATTAAACACATAATCGTCATCGGGTTCTGGTGTTTTATACCAATCATATTCTTCGGAAATAGCTCTTATTTTGTCCTTAGTGGCTTCTATTAATATAAAAGTCAGTTCTTTTGGGTTAAAGAAATCTAATAATTTGTTAGTAAATTCAACTCTTCCCGGAGTTAATTTTTCCAAAGCACTTCTTATTTGAGTTTGTTTTCCTTGGTCTTTTTCTTTTTTTAATTTTCCTTCTAATTCTTCTTTTCTTTTTTTCTTGCTGGGCAACATTGTAAACAATTTGTCTGGGTCTAAGGATTCTTTAATAAACTTTATCAGTATTAAGTTAAGATATCTGTTTCCATCTTTTGATTTGATTGGCGGCAATGGTTCGGGAATGCTGTAAAAATTAACTAATTTTTTCACTAAAACGTTGGAAATTTTGTTAACGCTGTCTTTCTTTAATTCAGTTTGTAATTCTTTGGAAGGAACATCTTTACCAATCAAAACATACTTGCCTTCTTTTTGGGGAGGAACCAACGACATTCAAACTGGGGCTAGATAATCCTTATCGCGAGCAGCTCGTCCTCTTTCTTGTAATAAATCATCGAAGGGACTATTTTGGTCTGATATTTCACTATTTACCCATTTCCCATCCTTCTCCACTACTATTTTTCTCTTTGAAGCCCCAGTTGATATCACGTTAACATCACCGAAAGAAAAACCCACTGAGTAATCACGACTAGCAATAACCACTAATGGTGCCTCCATGCTTTTCACTATGTCAGTAGCATAGTCTTTTACCGCCTCGTTTAGTATTAAAACTTTGGTTTTGGATTGTAACTCTTTTAATTCGGGTCAGAATTCATTCCAAGTAAGATCCTTATCATTTTTTTTATTTGGCTTATCAACGAATATGATTATTTTTTTCCTAAATATGTCGGGAAAGGCCGAAGCAAGTTCTTTGAAATCTGATACCCAATAGTCAGTGATATTTCCCGTTAAGCGACGGGAAGTAGGAACGTCAGTGAAAGTAGCCGACATTTGAACTATTTTGAAGCGACGAATTTTTTTGTTACTTAGCAAACCATCGATTAAAGCTCGATAACAAGGTAAATCGGTATGAGCTTCGTCAAACAATACTACGTCTTTTATTCAAGGATTACCCTCACCATCTTTCTTCTCGTTAACGAAGGCATCTAAAAATTCCCATCACGTGAAAACGTTTATTAATTTACTTGGTCCGTTATCAACAATTTCGTATTTACCTAGCTGTTGTTTGGTTTTTGGGTCTATTGTCGGCTGATTTTTGTCATCAAACTGAGCGGTATGATAGCCACCACAAAAAACACAAACGGTTACTTTCTTTTCTTTATCAGGCACCTCGTTTCCCTCTTCGTCTTTTTTTACATCTTTTCCGAGCGGCAATCACTCGGTATGAGCTTTCTTTACTGATCCCTTTAATGAAGCATAAGGAACTACTAGTGTAGTTCCAAGGTTTTTCTTATTTATTATATCTTCCTTTTTCCTTTTTTGACTTTCTAGTATTTCTTCGAATTTTTGACTTTCATAAATGTTTTCCAAGGTTTTGAGTTTACCTTGACTTGCTATGTCTTCATAAACTTCATCCAACTCTTCTCAACTAAGTCCCAAGTGTGACAAAAACGCCACACATCTCGTGTAAAAAGTTGATTTGCCGGTTCCTGTTCCTAACATTGTTTTTTTCTCTTCGGGGTTGGCCGGACAAAAAACATTATTGTAAGGAGAACCAATTTTCTTGCCGGTTTTGTCCTGAGGTTGGAGTATTGCTGTTTCACCTCTAATCCATTGGATTGGGGTATAGTCATCATTAAGAGTTCGTGCTCCAAATTCGTAGATTTTATAACCGTTGGGGTTATTAACTACATCGGGTTTTAACCATCGTTTCAATGCCTTATTAAGTAGTTCGAAAGTTGGTGCATTAGCTTCATAATCAGCTTTTAATTCACTTTCGGTAAATATATGCTTAAATTCTTCCTTTTGTAAATTGAATTGGTCATCACCGGTTTTTATTCTCTTTAGTGCTTCCTCGACAGCCAACAACCTTTTCAAAATTTTCATTATCATTGCCGTGTTCATGGAAAGTGTTGGCGGGAGAGGAGCAGCGTTTTTATCAACTTTTTCATGCAAAGCTCTTAATTCTTCTTCAAAGCTATTAGCTCATGTCTTATCATTGGCTAGCTCATCAAAAGTTTTTCCTAACATGGCTGTTATAGGTGTTTTGGGAGCTGATTCTTTTTTATCACTCTCGCTCTGGCCTGTTTTTTTCTCCTCTCCATCTTTCCCATTTTTTTCTTCCTCGTCTGTTTCCTTTGTTTCCTTATCCACTTTTTCTTTTTCGTTTTCTTCTTGTGATGCAGATGATACGGGCTTGCTTGCTTTATCGTCCTTTTTCTCTGCTTCTATTTCTACATCTCCCACTTCCTTTATTAATTCGGCAATTTTCGCTTCTACCTCACCCTTTTTATTTTCTCAGGCTTTCCTTTCGGCTTTATCGACTTTCTTTTTATCCCTAATTTTCTTTAAATCCTCTAATTGTTCCCTTTGAAATTCCTTTAATTTTTTGTCTCTATCCTCATCGCTTTCCTCGAAGGAGATTTCCTTTTTTAAAATTTCTTCAACTTCTGTTTCCTTCTTTGTGATTTCTGTTTCGCTGGCTGGATTTTCAAGTCTGATTGTTTCACGAAATTTCTCGGTTAATTCGGGCTTAATCCTATCGACAATAGCATAACCCCCGCCAACGCCGCCAACGGTAGTAACCGCTCCTCCTACTCACATCACTACCTTTACCCATTTTTTTAGTTTTGAGACTTTTTCGAAGACTTCCATTATTACTATTTTTTTATATTATATTTTTAAATTTTTTAATTTAATTAAATATTAATTAAATATAATTTTTTTTTACTATTATCTGTTACTTATCTATTGTTGTAGATGGTGCCGTTTGAAAAAAGAGGATAGTTGTTAATTTGGTAGTAAGCCAATATTCCGACCATGGCCGCATTATCCGTGCAGTATTTTTTTTCGGGCACAAATAACTTAACAGTAGGAAAATTTTCGACCAAAGATTTTTTTAGATAACTAAAGATAAATTGGTTAGCAACTACTCCTCCACCGCAAACTACACTAGCAAATTTTTGTTGTTCTAAGGCTTTGAATACTTTATTAACCAGTATTTTTGCTAGCGTGTGTTGTAAAGAATAAGCCAAATCAGGGATATTTAACTTTTCTCCTTCTTTTTCAATCAGTCGTCGCACCGCACTTTTTAGACCACTAAAACTAAAATCTAAACTGTTATCATTTTTGGGTAAAGGCAATTGATAAGTGTTTTTACCGGTTAAGGCTAATTGTTCGATAATTGGTCCACCAGGATAAGAATATCCTAATAAAATTGCTGATTTGTCTAAGCATTCACCAATCGCATCATCGCTAGTTTCTCCTAGGAGGGAAAAAGCACCATGATTGTTTACTTGATAAAGTTGAGTATGTCCCCCACTAATAATTAAAGCCAGGACCGGAAATTCCCAAGCAATATCTTTTTCCAGCAGGCTTGCGTAAACGTGGGCTTCGAGGTGATTACACTTAATTAGCGGTTTGTTAAGATAGAGAGAAAGAGTTTCGGCTACTATTTTGCCAATTTGAAGGCAAATAATCAAGCCCGGCTTCTCTGTATAGGCAATATAATCAATTTTTTCCGGAGTAATTCGGGCTGTTGCTAAGGCTTGCCGTAAAACTTCTTGGATATGGACTAAATGTAATTTCGCTGCTAAACTAGGCATCACCCCACCATATTTTTGCTGCTCTAATATTTGCGAAACAGTAATATTACTGAGGACTTTCTGATTTTGTAAAACAGCAATACTGGTTTCGTCACAACTAGTTTCAATAGCCAAAATAATCATAATGTTTTAATATTTTTCTGGTTTTTCTAGGAAAATTAGTAAAAAAATATATGATAGAAAATAAGGAGTTTGAGGGTGAAGAAACAAACCCAAAAATGCTAGGAAAAGACCTCGGAAAAGAGAATTTTAAGGAGACATTTCGTAAAATCCAAGTCATTCTGGAACAATTGCAAAGTATTGAGGGAGGCACGACGGAAGAAACGGGAATTTTACCAATTGAAGAATTAATTGACAAATACTGAGAACAAAGGACAGAAGGAGAGAAGGAAGTTTTTTTTATTAGTTTCTTAGATACTGTCGTTGGAATATTCGAAAGGTTAATCACAAAAATTAGAGAAAAAAATACTGAACAGCAAAATCAGATCATTAGTTTAGAACGAGAGACAGAAGAGTTAAAACAAGAAAATTGAGAATCCGAGGAAGAAAAGGACCACGCTGACGGATTAAGGATACCCAGAACTTCGGAGTCAACTTTCATCTCACCTCTAACTAGTCCGAGATTTGGCGCCACCTACTATGCGTCTTCCCAGGCCTTAAAAAAATCTCGTTCTAATTTGACTTTGTCTTCTCCTACCCAAAAAAAATTTTCTCTGACTCGAAGTCGAGGTAACAGTGTTGATAAGAAGTTAGAAAGAGCAAACGAGGACGTTGAAAAAAAATATTGGGAAGAAAGAGTAAGGAAAATTACTTTTGAAAAAGACCAGGTGATATCTAAATTAGAGGCAGAAAGAAACGACTTGAAGACCGCCCAGGAAAATTGAGAAAAAGATAAGGAAAATTGAGAAAAAGATAAGGAAAATTGAGAAAAAGATAAGGAAAATTGAGAAAAAGATAAGGAAAATTTGGTTCAAAAGTCCCGAAACGCCACAACCGCATTAACAACCAAATTAGAAGAAATTAGGAAAAAAGACCGAGAACTGCAAGAAAAGGAGAAGCAAGAAAAGGAGAAGCAAGAAAAGGAGAAGCAAGAAAAGGAGAAGCGAGTAAAAGAATTAGAAAGAATTATTAGTAAACTGTCAAGAGAAAAGCAAGAATTAGCAGAGAAAAATCTTCTTTATGCCAAAGAAATATTTGCCAAAAAAGAAGAATTGTCCGTCTTACAAATCGAGAAAGAAGGATTGCAAACAGAAGCAGACCAATGATCCGCTAGATATCAAGAAGCAGAACAAACCATAATTCATTATCAGCAACAATTAGAAGAAGAAGAAGAAATTCATAATATTTTTTCGTTGGAACCGGAAAAAGTTTCTTCCGACCAAGAAAATTTGGTTTCAAACCACACCCTCCTGGATGAATTAGAAGAAGCACAAAAAAAATTGTCAGAAGACGATAAACTAACCACAATTAAAGAAACTCTAATTGCTAATTACCGACTTGACGAAAAAGAAAGAGAGTGGTTAATGAGTGTAGAAAAAAATGATTGGGCGAAAATCACACAAATTATAGTTGATATTCAATTAAAGCGATTTAAACAACGCATAAAAGGTTCTTTTTTCACCCCTTGCCAAAAAAGCGAGACTGGGTTATCCTCTCCGGCTAGTAGTTCTGCCTCTTTTTTTAGCGAGCCAATTATCGGAACTAATCCGTTAACCACGACGCCAGGAAGAATTACACCCGTCGAGAGAAGAAATAGTTATTTTGGTGGCTTTTTCCCTGAATTTTCCCGAATTAGCACTAATGAAAGTACTTGCTCGGCCTGTGGAAAAATCCGATTCGAAAATGAGAATGAAGATAAGCAAGAGGAATTAGAAAATTTGCAGAGAAAAAATTCCGAATTGGTAAGAGAAAATCGGAAATTACAGAAAGAAAACAGAAGACTAAAAAGTGAATCAGGTAGTTTTGAAATAAAAAACGGAGAACTAAAAAAACAAGTCATGGAAGTTGGTTCTAAATTGGAGTCTAGTAGTGAGGGATTAAAAGAATTATCATTAGAAAAAATAGACAAAGAGATAGAATTAAAAAACCTTAACGAGGAGAAAAAGAAAGTTGAAGAAGAAAAAGCCAAAGTCGAAGAGCAATTACAAAAAGCCGAGGAAAAAAATAGCGAGGAAAAAAATAGCAAGCAAGAATTAGAATTAGAACGTCGTAATAAAATAATTATCCGGCAAGGAGTGGCATTAGTCCTTTTAGCCGCTCTCTCTCTCTCTCTTTTATTCTCGTGTTGAAAAAGTTCAAGGGAAAAATTAAAGCCAGTGATTAAAAAGGTCAATTAGGAAATTTAGTTATTTTCTTTTCTGAACTTTTGTAATTTTTTTATTTATATTTTCTATCTGTTCTATCTGCTTACTTCGTTTATCTATTTTTTTATTTTTTTGGCTAATTTTTCTGTTTTTTCAGTCCAAACACTTACTTCTTTTGCTACGGAATTTATTAAAAAGTAGGAAGTGAAAAAAATATTTGTTTGGTTAGTGGTTGAAAACATGAATTTTTGAGCCGAATAATTTAATTAGAAATTGTGCTAAATTAATGGAGGGATTTTTCGGCCGATAAGAAATTAAAAAATCTAGTGTCAGTTGTGAAAAAATCATGATTATGAAATTTCCACTTATATACTTGTTAAAATGATGCGGAACACGTAAACACACTTAAAGAACTATACTCGCTTAAACCAACC